TAAAAAAAGAAAAAAGAAAAAACAATGGAAGGCCCCGGGCCTTTCCCCATCCTTCTGCTCCTGTTTGTTCCTGGTTGGGTAGCCATGAATGCCAGAACCACAGTGATGGTTTTGGCCAATACCGAAGAAACAGCCACTGAGAAGATGATGCCAAACACCGATTGCTGCAGGACGCACATCACTTTTTGAGGCTGCCCAAGAAAAAGCAGGGTAGAAAGGAAGCAGAGCAGGAGGGAGATGAGAAGTGTGTAGGTGAGGTCCCGGTTATTGGCTTTGACAATGGGAGTGTTGTGGTGCACTATAAATGTTCTTAACAAGAGAACAGTGATCAGAGAAAAGAAAATAGCACTGGTGGCTAAACCCATCCCCATAGGTTCATCATAGGATAAAAAGGTTACAATTTTGGGGATGCAAGTATTCTGATGCTTGTTTGGGTAATCATCTTCTTTACACTCAACACATTCAGGCATATCTGGAAAAGAGAGGTTCAGCCTTAGTGGCACAAAAGTTTACTGAAGTTGGTGATATGAATGATAATCAAGAGTCTGCTACTGAGGAAGAGCAATTTTCTACAAGAAGCACTTTTCCCTTGAGTGATGAAGAGAAGCCCAATACCAGTTACCTTATCTGGATTGCACAGAAATGCATTCAAGTGTCTACTAAGACTATTGACTTCTGTCATTCTCCCCTCTTCTTCCCTCCTTTGGAAGTACTGCAGGAATACATTAATTCTGTGTGTTATTGTGGGGAGCCTTTTTATCCTGAACAGCTGTTCACTAAGAATTAGGCCCAATGTATCCAAGCCCCAACAACTCCACATTTGGAGTTTCCAAGAAAAAAATTACAATCATTAGCTCTTTCCTGAGCTACCCAGATAGAGAATGCAGAAATCTGCATTGAGAAGATGACAGGAATCCCCTTGTCCTGTCTCTGCATTGGTAACTAATCTGCTTAAGCAATTGCACTGCCCCTCTTACCTTCTGATTCAGAAATCTTGCCTTCTGGACAGGGAATGCAATCATAGCAGCAGAAGGGCTCCCCTTCTTTCTTTTGTTTCCTGTAACCAGGCTGGCACTTGTCATTACACACTGAGAGAGGTTGCACCTGATTCATCAATGAGAATGGAAAACAGAAACCAATTTAAACCTTCACAGTGATAAGTTGCAATCCTCACAGACCATAGGACAACATGCCATACAATTACCTATTCCTTCAGATGAAAATCTGCTGACCACAAATTATCCTGTTGTTCTAACTTCCTATCTCATTGTGGAACAGAACTGAGACTTCTCAATCATGGGATTAATCTTTTTTTTTTTTTTTTGCTTTTTGCTTTCTTTATTAAAAAAATAAAACAGCAACAAAAGGAAGAAAAGAAGAAAAGAAGAAAAAGAAAAGAAAAAAAGGCAACTTCATTATTGTATGTTCCCTCGACATTCTTTTAACAGATGCAAACCAGCACCACTGATGTCCCTTAAATATCAGCTCATATCCATTTCAGTTTACACTTACAACATCCTATCAACCTATGTGAAAATTGGTATTTTAATGACTCTTTATTGAATGGAATAAATTTGTAAAGCAGATGCCTTTTGACACCATGCAATATTTTGGATGTAATACAAAAACAAATCGATTGTTGAATAAAGCTCCATGTCTGACCAAAAAAGAGAAAAAAATTACAATCATTAAATATGGGAATGATAAGATATAAAGTTCTCCTGAAGATATAATGTTTTATTTAACCAAAAAAAAAAAAGGAAAGAAAAAGAAAGCATGCTGACTTATATACTAAGCCTGAGAACTAATCTGATGAGTATATAGATGCCTTTTTAAGGAAACTGATCTTCCACACCCAGATTTCTTAAAATAACTGTAACTACTCTTTTCTTTGACTATGGATGAGATCAAAAATAGCATTTTGGATATGAATAATAGTAACCACCAGGATTAGATATATTTCCTGTGGATTGATAAATACTAAAACATATTTATTGATATACTTGCTGCTAAATTCTATCTATAGTTTCTGTGTGTCTGTATAGTGTTTCTGTGTTTGCATACAAATGAATGAGACTTTTGCAAAATGGTATTTGATCTTCATTTAATGAACTATATATTAGTTGTACAAAAAACTGGTAAATAGAGCATATGCTGTGTCCTAATTATAGACCTATTTCATAGACTAATGTAGACATTAAATTTTAAACTACTGTTTTAGCTAACAGACTTCACTGAGTAATTTCTCCAGTGGTGAAGAATGATCAAGTGGGGTTTATTGAAAGTAGACATGTGTGAGAATATGTTTGGCTGTTAGCAGGTAGGATTGAATTTAATAAAAACAGAGAAGACAAAGCTGTAATTCTATCACTTGGTGGGGAAAAGCTTGTGATAAAAAATATACATAATTGTATATTTATATTGTATTATTTATGTTTCTATTGATTTTAAACTGTTTTGTTGTGAACCGCTTAGAGTCCCTCCTTGTGGGGGAGTTGGGCGGTGATATAAATTTGATATATAAATAAATAAAATAAATAAATAATATATGTATGTTTCCATAGGCAAATGTGGATTTCCTAAAGGATTTATGAAGTTGATCTAGATCCTCTATGAGATCCTCAAATGGAAAGTGAAGGTCAAAGGTCTTTCTTCATCTCCCTTTTTAGTTTACAATGGCATTAGACAAGGATGTCAACTTATTTTTACTTATTTACGATTACATTTATATCCAGTTTTTATTTTGTTCAACTAAAGGAGGCTTACATAATGTTCCTGCCTCCTATTTTCCCCACAACAACAACTCTGTGAGGTGGGTTGGGGTATGACAGAGTGACTGGCCCAAAGTCACCCAGCTGGCTTTCATGCTAAAGAGAGGACTAGAATTCAGGATCTCCTGTTTTCTAAGTTTCTTAGCCACTACACTAAACTGGCTCTAAAACAATGCAGAAATCTGCATGTTAGAAGAGCATGAAATCTGTATGTTTAAAGACATAGAGATGAAAATTTGTTGCTGGGTGAACATTAAAATTACAGACTGATTCAGAAATAAGACAGATCAATCTTAACATTTGAAAAAAGAAGAAACTGAGTTTCTTTTCTTTTTTTTTAGAAAAAGGAGATTCACTCATCTTCAGTGAAAAAACATATCAAGAGTCACTTTTGAGAACAATTACTCTCATCCTTATCAAAAATACTGTATAGTGACTTCCCAAAGGTTTGGATTTATGTCCTACCTGGTTAAACCAACGATGCCATACAATGGGATTTTTACTCATAATAACTTTTTGATCTCCTGGAGCTTGAGAATTGATCATTCCAACTTGTACTCTACTAAAAGACAGGTTTGGAAATAATACCCAGTTGATGACATCAAATTCTGTCAGAAACACACCATTCTGGTCAAAGGAAACCTTGTCCCCTACGTTATTGTTAAAAGATACTTGCTTCAGGAAATGGAGGAGCTAGATGGAAAGGGAAACAAATATTTAAGAAAATGTTCCAAGAACAAGGAACTGAATATTTGTTAAATATATCCTCAAACACAAAAGCATATATGTACTTTAAGATTTTTCTTTTTTCTTAAAAAAAAAAAAACACTGCAAATATAAAAGCCAACTCCAGAAATCACACACAGAATGGAATTCTGTCTCATGCGAAATGATTCAGCTATTTGTTAATATCAGTTTGTCTGAATGAGCAGTGATAAGCCTTATCCTTAGATAGTATGCCCAGTGATGAGAGTCGGTCATTCCACTCCAAAGGCATCTGGTCACACATCACTCACATATTTCAGAAATCAATTAAATGGTTTCAAAAATTAGCATTACAGAGTTGGTTCTTAAGAACTTTGTGCTGGAGAACTTTCATAAAGTGTAGACTCAAGAGTTATTCTAAGTGAAATATAAATATATAAGGTGAAATTACATGTGAATGTATTTATCAAACACCAGGACTTACAGTAATTTTAATTGACAGATTAATTAAGAAGCTAATAGCTACAATTTTTAGTATTTTCCTGGGAATAAGCTCTATTTAATTCAGGGAGTAATAATGCTGAATAAACCTATTAGGATTAGGTTGAAATAAGGAGTAAAGCCACCCCAAATTCTGCTTGCTTAAAGGAGCAACATCATTTACATAACAGAAATCACATCTTCCTTCCTTCCTTCCTTCCTTCCTTCCTTCCTTCCTTCCTTCCTTTCTTTCTTTCTTTCTTTCTTTCCTCTCTCTCTCTCTCTCTCTCTCTCTCTCTCTCTCTCTCTCTCTCTCTCTCTCTCTCTCTCTCTCTCTCTCTCTCTCTCTCTCTCTCTCTCTCTCTCTCTCTCTCTCTCTCTCTCTCTCTCTCTCTCTCTCTCTCTCTCTCTCTCTCTCTCTCTCTCTCTCTCTCTCTCTCTCTCTCTCTCTCTCTCTCTCTCTCTCTCTCTCTCTCTCTCTCTCTCTCTCTCTCTCTCTCTCTCTCTCTCTCTCTCTCTCTCTCTCTCTCTCTCTCTCTCTCTCTCTCTCTCTCTCTCTCTCTCTCTCTCTCTCTCTCTCTCTCTCTCTCTCTCTCTCTCTCTCTCTCTCTCTCTCTCTCTCTCTCTCTCTCTCTCTCTCTCTCTCTCTCTCTCTCTCTCTCTCTCTCTCTCTCTCTCTCTCTCTCTCTCTCTCTCTCTCTCTCTCTCTCTCTCTCTCTCTCATGGAATTTATGTTAAAAATGCAAACACACAAATTAAAAGGGATGCAATTTTCTTCTATAGTTTCTCTTTTACAAAACTCCATTTTTTTTAAAAAAGATGGACTACACAGATAGTAAAATAGACAGGATTTTGCTGATCTTGGTTTTGTACTAATGCTTTCTATCCAAGATTTTCTTTAAAATATTAGTAATATGCTATAGAATAATTTTTTATGGTAATAATGGCTCCACCATTGAGAATAAAATAAATAAAACAATAAAACAATAAAACAATAAAGGACCTCAGTGACCGACATTACCTGCCATGGCTGCTGAGTCAGAAATGTCTGCCTCTCCCTCTCCACCCTTCTTCTGTGCTTGTATCTGGATGAAAACATGGCATGCAAAGCATGAGCAACAGCAAAGGCAGCGTTATAGATGCTGTAGCTGTGCCCAGTAATGCTTTTTTCCAAATACTTTTCAGGAAGGTTCTCCAGGCTCTCCAGTCCAGTGCAGAGTTCAGCACTATATCTATACTTCACAACCCAGTTGGGCAAGGTGCAGCGAAAAGCATAAGACCAAAAGTCCCTTATAAAAAAATCTTTTGGATTGGAAGGCTTTCTGTCCTGAATAAATTGCTGAAATCCTGGCAGCTCATTGGAATGGACAGCCAAGGATAAAGCACCACGGTAGACCTGCTTAGCAACTCTCAGAACATCATCACTGCCATAGTGCTTAAGCTCTAGCTGAGCGGGCAAAATTTCTGTCCTGAATAAATTGCTGAAATCCTGGCAGCTCATTGGAATGGACAGCCAAGGATAAAGCACCACGGTAGACCTGCTTAGCAACTCTCAGAACATCATCACTGCCATAGTGCTTAAGCTCTAGCTGAGCGGGCAAAATCCACACTTTACCATTTAACTTTTCTGTTGTTTTACCATCTCTGTCTATACCTAGCACCCAGTTGAAAATCATTAGAGTGCTAAGATCACCAAAGAAGAGAAATATATTAGCTGTGCTGGTCATGATTCTATTCCATGTTTTAAATGTCCATTTCCTTATATGCCCATATTCGTTTTCCATGCCTACTTTGTAGACTGTATCTATAAAAGCAAAACAAATGCCGCGCGTGGCAAATTCTGGAACCATGATTTGGAAAATCCATTCTAAATGAATTCCTGGTGCAGTGAAAAATCCAACCCATGTCCACCTGAAATAGAGAAGTAATTTGAGAATCTCCTTGTACTGAAGGGCTTCATTTGGGACCATTTGGTAGAAGTAACGGGCTTGGGTATGATCCATCATCACTGGAGCAGAGCCATAGGAGAGCTAAACAAATTGGTAATTGGAGAAGAGACAAAAATGAAATGAAATGGAACAAGATTAATGTGTAGCTCTGCTTATTAATATTATTACTTCACCATGGAACTGCTGGGATCACATTTCAGTAAATCGATTTATTGCGGCACAAAATTATTTAAGCAAGCAATTTATTTAAGCAATTTATATGGCTGCCAAACTCACTCACAGTGACTCCAGGCAGCTTACAAGAATAAAAATCCCAAATACCAAACCCACTACAACCCCAACCCCCTGGTGACAACAACACATTTACACTAGCCATTTGATGGGCTCCGGATTGACCTGGAATACCCAGGCCTTTTGGCAAAACGATGTCTTCAGGGCCTTGGGGATCAGCATCAAGGTGGGGTCCAGTCTGAACTCCGTGGGGTTGATGTTCCACAGGGAGGGAGCCACCATGGAGAAGGCCCTTTTTCTCAGTCCCACTAGATGGACCTCTTTAATGGGGAGGGGGGGACCCATAATATACCCTGCCTCCCTGATCTGGTGGGTTGGGCAGATGAAACTGGGAAAAGGTGGTCCTTTAATGTGAGAAGAATTCATCCTTCCCAGGAAGATTGAAGGCTTTGATAACAGTGCATCAGGTATCATTGACTTTTATATTTTATGAGTTGAGGTGAGAGGTTTTGTTTTTCTTTAACCTTTTTAAATGTGAGCCACACTGGCAGTAGTGAAAGAACCTTCCATGCTAGAATGTTCTTGGTTGATACTTCTCAGATTCATTATATTGCCACATCAATAAGCTCTGTATGATCATAGAAAATACCTCTATCTACACAACACAAAACATTTTAGGAGGAAGAAGGATAATACTTATAATCTGCACATACATCCTACCTGAGGTGACTTGTAGATGCTGAAAATATTTGGTATCTGATGGGAGGATTCAATGTCAAGTCCTTCAATGACTGCAAGAAGATTGTCTTTAGTACCACAATGGTAATTGGGGAGAAAATGCTTCTTTGGAGAAATAAGTTGCATTGCAGAACGAAAGGCCCACCTGGCATTCATGTGACTATCATAGATATGGAATCCAAGAGTGATGTTGGGTAAGATCTGGGGATCTTCATTGATTTCCTTTACCGCAAAGACCAAGGCCAGGATATGCTGGTAGTTCTGAGTTATAACCCTACAGTAGGATTTCCATTTTGTATCACACTAATTCAGTCTAATAATTATATACCATAGTTTATGAGGCATGCTTGGTACAAAACAGAGACAACAAACTTATATCAGTATACAGAATTAAAGCAAATTATAGGATATAATTCATTAGGATAATATTTGGAATAGGTTATTTTATAAAAAGGGTATAGTTGCACATAAGGTCATGGTTTATAATTTTCCAGTGCACAAGCTTTCTCCTACCTTACTTAGTTCATTTATAATTCATAAATACAACTGTTTCTATAGATTGATATGTGCTGTCATCTTGGTGTCAACTTAGCTAGCCAATCTTGGCCAATCCTCCAAAAACGCTTTTATTAAGGAAGCCCAGCCCTGGAGGTTAGAAAAAAGCAGGGGCAGACCACTTACGTACTATTGCCAAGAAGATATATTCCCAGTAGGGTCATCTAAGGCATGAACGTCATCCCAGCTGAAGGAAACAGACACCTACATTGGGCAATAGTGATACAGGAAGATGCTGGAGACTGATGATAACTTCAGTGAATGATAAAAGCATTATTTCATACTATGTTGGAGAAAGCAATAATAAACACTTCTGAATTTTAACAAGAAACCAGGTAGGCTAGGGAAGATTAAGTGTTTGATGTTATAGTAGCAGATGATAAGCCCCTCAGGTCAGATGGCACTCAACATCCTACTGGGGACATGCTGAGGATCATTCTGAGTAGAATTGGTGTTTATGACATGGCTAATTTAAAACCTTCTGGATGTCTAATTCCTGATATTGCCATGCAAGACAAGAAAATCTGAAGCTGCAAACATAGAATTAGAGTGGGAAGATGAAGCATCTGTACCAGGAATGTAGGAAAGCTCAACATAGTTAAAGATGAAATGAACTGACTACACATTACATCTTAGTCATCAGCAAATTGAAATGGACTGGAATTGGATATTTTCAGTCAGAAGCGCATAAGGTTTACTATTCGGTACATGAAAAACAAAGACGCAACAGTGTTGCTTTCAAATCAGGAAGGCTAAGCAAAGACAGGACTTGGGTAGGATTACTCAGTAATTGGCTAATGCCAATTAAATTTCATTTAGAACAATTTAATTTGACATTTATCCAAGTTTATTCTCCAACCACTGATGCAAAAGAAGAGGAGGTTAATGAGTTTTATGGTCAAATTCAATCTGAAATCAATGAAGACTACTTGGATACAATACAGTCAATGATGAAATAACATCAATTAGACATTGTGGACAATCCAATTTAATAAAACTAGTATTCTTTAAAGAACTATTAAATAAATAATAAATTGTTTAATAAAACTATTGTCTAACTTTATATACCAACCACTGATGCAGAAGAAATTGAAAGCTTACAGGAATTGATGGAATATCTACAAAAAATGGCAAGAGAAGAGGACACAATAAAGATTCTAACCAAATTATGGCAGCACCCCTGGAGTACCAAGAGACTGGAAGAGGTCAGTCTATATATATATATCAATACCAAAGAAAGGAGACTTAACACAGTATGCAAAACATCACACAATATTCTTAATTCCAAATGCTAGAAAAATAATACATAGGATCACACAATGAAGATGACAGCCCTGAACGGAAAAGGAAATTCCAGAAGTTGAAGCAGGTTTTAGAAAAAGAAAAAAAAAAAGAGACATTATTGCTGATGCATGTTGGATAATTGAGAAAGCCAAAGAATACTAAAAAGAAGTCAATATGTGCTTCACTAACTATACATAGACCCTTGGTTGTATGAACTATGTCAAGCTTTGGAAAAGGGGAATCCCAGAACATTTCAATGCCCACATAGTAAGTCTATGCATGGGCCAGGAAGTCAAAGTGTGGATGGAACATGGAAAAATAAGCTGGCTCCAAGTCAGCAAAGGAATGAGACAAGACTGTGTACTCTCTCATTTATTCAACAAATACCTTGGATATTAACTGAAGGAATCTGAAGAAGGTAATCATGAGTTTCAAATCGGAGAAAGAAATATCAATAGCCTGTGTCATACTGATATCACTACTTGGATAAGGGAAAATGCAAACTATCTGTAAACTCTAATAATGAATATCAAGGAGCACAGTGAAAAAAACAGGACTATGACAAACTATAAAAAAAGACCAAACTAATGACAATAGGTGCAACAACTAGCCTTAGAAGTGACAATGAAAATACTGAATAGCTTCTGCCTTTTTGTATCCAGTAATAACTGTACAGGAACCAGCAGTCAAGATAGAAGCCATGGTTTGGTATATGGAGAGGTAGCAATGAAAGCCTCCCCCCCAAAATTATCATGTGTTGTGCTGTGTTTTTAACTACAAAGATCAGAATTGTGCCAGCAATACTTTTTCCCTGTGATATTCTATGGAAGTGAAAGTTGGATTTTGGAATAGCAGGATAGAAGATTATGGATACTTTTGAAATGTGATGTTGCAGCAGACTCTTGAGAATACCATGGATAGGCAAGAAAGCAAACGTATCACAAAAGAAATCAATTCAGAGTTCTCACTCAAGGCACAGATGACCAAATTATCAAATTTTGGACACCTTATGCGAAGACTGAGATCCCTTGAGAAGTCCATAATGCTGGGGAAGGTGATCAAAAAGACAAGAGGATGACCAGCAGCAAGGTGGATGGACTCAATTACAGTGTTGGTCAGTACACCCTTGGGTGCCCTGAAGGCCCAGTTTGGGGACAGATCATCCTGGGGAAAGTCATAGTCTACTTTGCTAAGAGTCAACACTGACTGGATGGCACATAATCAATTCCTGGGAGAACAAACTCAAAAATCAATAAATTAAATAATCGTGTATAATTTTTGAATCAATATGATGATTTGTCATGAAAAAGAGTAAAATCATTCTAATTTGAAGCAAGAGACAATTTAAAAATTAGTCTAAATGACTGAAAATGCATTGCCTAATTGAAAGTAAAACATACACGTATTTGCCCTTTTATGAAAAGTAATAGCTGACCCTTATGTAGCAAAGCCCATAAGATTTTGATTTCCTTAAAACAAAAAATTTCTAGCAATAAAATCTATTTATTCCTTCCTGCCATAAATTACCCCCATAAAATTGTTCTGCTATATATAATCTGCTCAGAAATATACTAAAGGCAAAACCAATTCCTTACTGGTATTTTTCATAGTACATTGGAGTTGGTGGTTCATCAAAATTTTTTGGACTGCAGACAAAAAAGGTGTGACCAACCAGACCACCAAAGAGTAGATCTCCTGGCTGAAGGTACTTGTGAAAAATGCGATGGTGATCCACAATTCGACATTTAATGTTTTTCTGACGTGCCATGTGAGGCAGTAGTAGAAAAAGTAACACTACTACTATCAACATCCTAAGTAGAAATTGACTCTCTAAACTAAGACATAAATATATCTATGCCACAGACATTAGAACCTCTATGATAACAATGGCTCAAAGTAAATGAAAGTTGAAATCTGATGAATGAACTAAAAAGAGTGTGTCCTTGAAATCTGTTCTTAATTTTTAGACCTGGCTGTATATACACACAATACATACACACAGAGAGACACATGCATGTACAACCACAGACATATACACTCTCATTCTTGTAAACAAGTTTGATATTAGTACAGAGATTGGAAAGCATCAGAAATAATTACAGGTCTTTGTTAATTATCTAAAATTGGTAAATCCTCCCTAGCATTGCTGAAAATTGGTTGTGTTAATCTTCCCCTTGAAGCTTTATTAACACTGATGCAATGTGGCAAATAAAACTTTTTTTCTGCCACATATTGTTTCTGTTTTCACACACCACTCCAAAGAACTGTTTTTTGTCTTCCTGGAGACAAGTAGAAGGGATCTGGGCACATAGAAATTAGGCAAAAATTCAGAGTAGTAGTTCCAAAATGCCTTAAAAACCTGAATTATTGCTAATATAATATTTATCAGCACTGGCTAATTTGGGCTGGTCCCTTCCCCATTTCTTTCCATCAGCCTTCTCAAATATACTTCTTCCTCTTCCTCTTCCTCTTCCTCTTCCTCTTCCTCTTCCTCTTCCTCTTCCTCTCCCCCCTCTTCCCCCTCTTCTTCTTCTTCTTCTTCTTCTTCTTCTTCTTCTTCTTCTTCTTCTTCTTCTTCTTCTTCTT